CCAAGGGCCAGATAGCAAATATTTCAGGCTTTGTGGGCCACATACAATCTTACATACTTTTCTTTGTTTTTCATAACCCTTAAAAAACACAAAAACCATTTTTAGCTCAAAAGATGGGGGGCAAGAAATTGCCAAATTTGGCCCAAAGGACAAAGTATACCAACTCCTGCTCTAGAACATGTGGTGCTAGGTTGATTAATTGAAGCCTACACTCAACAGTGGCCTAGTCAAGGAGTTGAAATGGCCACACTTCCCAGGTATACTGAAGGAGTCCAAAAGGTTAGGGAATGGGGATAGGTAGACTGAATCTACTATATTCACTCTGCTCAGCCATACCCTAATCCATACTCTTGAGCAGATCTGCAAACATCATGTGGTTCTGATAATTGGACACTGAGACTGTGCCCTGGTCACTTATGGTTCCTTATGCCACTATACCAAAAGATAGGAAAAGAAGTCAGTAGTTGATTAATTCCTGGGTTGCTGTTACACAATGAGAGCAAGGAGAACTACTATGTCTGTAAGCCAGGAGATTCACTGGAACACCCCTTGTCCAGTATCTTGGTCAATGGACAAGAAAGACAGGGCCACTAAGCACTCAGATCCCACAGAATGAACCACCACCAAGTTAAAAACAGTAATTATTTATCCAGCCCAGTGCTGGCATAAACAAACTTGAAATAGGGAGATAAAGAAAATAACCATTACTATTAATTTAGGCTTCATGGCCATCTGCATAAGAGAGGACTATAGANGAAAATAACCATTACTATTAATTTAGGCTTCATGGCCATCTGCATAAGAGAGGACTATAGAAAGACATAAGAGGACATAGAGGACATAAGAGAGAGCAGCTATTTTATGTTGTTTCTTATCTCACCTCCTCAGCCACCGTGAATGACGGGCAAAGATGATAACTAACATTTTAAGTTGCAGATGAAAGCAACTTATTATTGACATCACTTCCCAATAATATGATGTTTAATATGAAATAAGCAAAAGAGAAAAATGAACATACAACAGACTGTAAAAAACAAGCACAAAATAAGACATTTAACTCCATATATCATAAGTTATATGCCAATGGATTAAATCGTCTAGATAAACCAAGACTGTGAAATATACTTATAACATAAGGATACAAAAAGATTGAAAGGAAAAAGAAAGAAAGAAACTATACAAACACTAACCAAAAGAAAGTTAGTGTAGTTACATTAATATCAAGTTAGGAACTTTAAGACAAAAAGCAATATTAGAGATTAAGCAGGTCATATCACAATAATAAAAGGTTCAATTCAACAAGAAAATATAACATTTTCAAACTGCATGCCTCTAAGAACATAGTCTAAAAATAAATAATCCCCAAATTGACATATATAATCCTCTAAGTGACAGATTTACAAGGAAAAATATACAAATCCAAAGCTATAATTGGGAGTTTTGGACGCACCTCTCTCGGCAATAGACAGAACAAGTAAACAAAAAAACAAAACAAGTATACAGAATACACGAACAGAATTAATCTTAAATTTGATTTAATGGATGGAGTTATACCATACACACCATGACCCCAACAACTGCAAAACACATTCAAGCACACACAGAACATTTACAAAAATATTGCCAAACATAACACCTAAAGCAAGTCTCCACAAATATTTAAGAAATGAGATAGTGTATGTTTTCTGATCACAATGTGATTATATTAAAAATAAATAACCCCAAAACCCTGAGTGGAAAATGTCCAGATATCAAGACTTACTATAAAATCACAATAACATGGGATATTGGTTCAGAGATAGAAAAACAGACCAATGAAATAGACCAATGACACAAAACAAGAGAGGCCACAATCAGACCACACATATATGGTCATTTGATTTATGACAGATAGTACTGCAACCTGGGAACAGTACTGGGATAACTGGATATCACATGGGAGAAAAAGTGAAATCAGATCCCTACTCCATACCATGTACCAAAGTCAATGCCAAATATACTGACTATACACATAAAATATGAAAGATGAAACATAACTTGCAAAGGATTAATATGCACAGATTATATATAAAGACATCCTACAAATGAATAAAACAACCAACCAAAGAAAAAAATGAGCAAGAAATCCAAACAACCTTGTAACAAAAAAAAAAAAAAGAAAGAAAGAGAGGAAGGGAGGGAGGGAGAAAAGAAAAAAGAAAAGGGCATAATCAAAAAGGGCAGCCCACCAGAATGGCTAAAATTAAAATGTTTGAGAACACCAAATGTTCATGAGAATACTGGGTAATGGTAACTTTCCTGTGCTGCCAGTAAGAGTATTAACCATACAAATACTACTTTGATGAACAGGCTAAGAGAGCAACCAGTCCACAATTAAAGAGATGGATGAAAGATCCCAAAAGGAAACATGAGGCTAGTAGGTGTAGGATAGGGAAGTGATTGTACCTGATGTTTGAGTATGAAAAATATTAATGCCAGGAATGTGACATCTGAAAAAAAATTGCCCTAATATCTTAGAAAAATCACATAAAAGTTAGGCAATAACTAACTTCAAGGGGGGATATACTTTCAGAAGAACACCTAGCTCAGCAGTAAACAGTATTTACACAGCTATAACAACACTCATTATTGGTTTCACCAATAACTGAAATAAAGTTCTGTTAATGGGATATGAGGAAGAGAGTAGGAGAGCTAAATTCTCAATTACCAAGGCAGAAAGTCAATAACATGTGAAACTGATAAATCAAAATATACGAGTAACAGTTACTGCATACCACCAAAAATATGGAGCTAGATACTAAGAGAAAGAGCTAGAGGAGTAAAAATGGATGCCTCTGGAGAAAGGTGTTGGGGATGGGGAGAGGTGAGGAGTGGAATATTTGTCATTCAGGCTTTTAGTGCAGTGTGACTTTAATAACATGTACATGTATTACCTCAAAATTTTTCAAAAAGTTCTCCACTCCTACTGCATTTCTGTCAATTTATCCTGGCATTCAACAGATCTGCTTTATTGGCACATAAGGTTTTAACCACTTTTTAAAATTCAGAGTATACATACAGTATATATTCTGAAAATAATTATTCCAATTGACTCAACAGGTCAAAGAAAACGAGAACAGATTAAAGAATTTAGATTCAGCTTCAATATTAGCTGACAGGCATTGAAGCTTTATGGTTAGATTATCTTCACTCAGCTGTGACTGTGTCTTACTTTTCCATGTATATACCTGTAAGATTTTTCCATCATGTCTCAAAGTAAAATG